TGCAGCCTTGGGGCAGGTCCTGGTTCCACCGCAAGGAATACACAGAAAAATACCTTTGAGCTCTTTACAGAACTAAAACCCCCCACAAATGGAGGACGTTAGTATTCTTCATTCCAGAGAAGACCACCTGAGGCCAGACTAAAGGAACCAGAGAAGCTCATCAAGAGACTACCTGAGATCAGATTAAATGAGTGCAGGCCCTTCACATACCCTAATCCTTACCGCCAATCCTGCCTTTGAAACATTGCTATAAAACTCCTCACCAAATCCCTCCAGGTTGGGACACACAGTTTTGAGGGGCACAAGCCCGCTGTGTCCCCCTTTGTTTGGCAGAGCAATAAAGCTATTCTTTTCTACTTCACCCAAAGCTCTGTCTCTGAGATTCAGTTGGGCACCAGTGCACAGAGGCTGGAGTTTTCAGCATCATCGCCGCCCACCTTGCTTCCCACTTGGGCTCCCACACCAAACAGTCCTTTACACCACAGCTAGAGGGATCTCTTCAAAACACATCTGTCAGATTACTCCCGTGCTTGAAACTCCTCATGGCCTCTGTTACGTGTTGAATTTTGTCCCCCTCCCCAAATTCATATGGTGAAGTCCTAACCCCTAGTACCACAGAATGTGACATTTGGAAATAGGGTCATTGCAGATATAATTAGTTAAGATGAGGTCACACTGGAGTAGGGTGGGCCTCTAATTGAAAACGACTGGCTTCCTTACGAAAAGGGGATGTTTGGACACAGATATGCACACAGGCAGCAGGACACGTGAAGGTAAAGGGCGAGATAAGGGTGCTGTGGCCACAAGCCAAGGGACACCAAGATCGCCAGTCAGCCACCAGAAGCCAGGGCAGAGGCCCGGAACAGACACTTCCCTGCCAACCTCAGAGGGAGCACGTCCTGCTGACAGCTTGGTTTTGGACTTCTGGCCTCTGTGACTGTGAGACAATAAACTCCTGTCCTTCTAAGCCACTCGGGTTGTGGGAATGTGTTACAGCAACCACAGGAAGCACATACAATCTCTTTCTGGTCACCTGTGGTCACAGGGGTGGGTTCTAGGGGAGAGAAGTTAGTGGAGACCCCCAGGAAGCTCCCTCAGAAGAGGTGGGCCTTATTCGGGGGGGGATAGGGGGTGTGGGAGGGATAGACGCTTGAGTCTGTCTTCCCCAGACTCTCAGAAGGAGGACAAGGGTAGGATGGTGGTGGAAACAGGGACCAGGGGCAAATGAAAGGGCCCAGGTCAGATGATGTCAGGCAGGTGAGGATAAGGGGGAGGGCAGAAAGGACAGAGGGACCTGCTGTAGACAGAGGACTGAGCAACCAGGCCTTGGTCCCATTCGTGTGGAAGGCGAGAAGGCACTTGCTAAGGCTAGACAGGGCTGCACTGGGCTGAAATGGTTCGTGTTTCTTTCATGTACAATATAACTGGGGTGTGCTGAAAGCAGGGGCAGCGGGAGAGGGTGTGTCTTCTGGGAAAGGGAAAGGCCGAGCACAGGCCACCAGGATGTAGCTCACGGCCCACGCCCCATCCTGCCATCCTTAGCCCCATAGCCTGAGGAGGTATATGGTTCCGGGTCCCCAGAGAAGAAACATGGGAGAGTCAGATGCCACTCAGAGCTGGTCAGGGGTCTCCAGACCAGTGAATGCCAGGCCCAGAGAAAAGGCCACAGAATCCTGGGCAACAGGAGCAGAGAGTCTGAAAGGCTCCATTTCACAGAGGGGGAGACTGAGGCCAGAGATGCGATGAGTCCCAGTGTGCAGAAAGTGGTTAGAGGCTAAGGGTTGATGGAAGAAAAGTGGGGAGAATAGAAGGGGAAGAAAGGGAGAGGGAAGGGAAGAGAGGGCCAGAAAAAGGGAAGGGAGAAGCAGGAAGAAAGAGGGCGGGGCAGGGGAGGGTGGAGGCATCTGAGAGGGAGGCGGGAAAGGCACATCACAGTGCCCCAAGTGCCCCCATTAGAGATAAGTGACTAAGAGTCTGGAAGGCATTGAAAGTTCCGGAAAGAGGGTGTCAGTCTTACTACAGATAAGATAGGAGCTATTGGTTCTGTTACCCTGGGAATCTATGCGAAGGAGTGGCAGGGTTCAAATCAGTGCCGCACTCCCCGCCTTAGAGCAAGCCAAGCCACTGCTCCGCCCTGCCCCAGCCTCCCTCGCCCTCTTCCCACCTCCATCCTCTTCATTTGCCCAGTCAGCCCTCAGGCTGGCCCCCAGAGAAGGCCCTGCCTCCTGTGGGCAGGTTTGGACCAAGGAGGCCACAGGCTCCATGATTATGTTTAGGTGTGCTTTCTCCCCTCCCTCACCCCATTTCCTCCTTGAAGGAGAGTTGTCCAGGGTTGGGGACAGGGTGTCAGGAGCCCCCACTGCTCCTGGGGTCGTGAACTTAGGGCAGGACACAGGCCAGGACATGGCTGTTTGAATGACATCTACAGGGCCCAGCATAAGCCCCCCACTTCGGCCCCCAATCTCCCTTCCCTCCTCACCCAGGCGATCCCAGGATGACACCCCTAGAGGGTGGGAATCCTGAGGCCACAGTTTGATTTCAGCCTTTATTCCCTTCCCTCTTTCTCTGGGGGCAGGTGAGGGGCAGAGTAGATCCTGGAGGGTCCAACGAGGACCCGTTATCATCTTCTGCCAACCTGAACCCAGTCCTACGGCCATGGAGCCCAGGGCAGCTGAGTTGGAAGGAATCCTAGAGGCCCCAACCTTTGTCCTTTAGGGGGAGAAACTGAGGCCAGAGACAAACTGAGTTGCCCCATGGCACACGGCTGCTTCATGGCAGGATTAGAATCTGGGTTAGGGTTAGGGTTTGTCCCCAAACCCTATCTTGTGCCCATTTGGCTACAGCAGTGGCCTTTCCCCTGATTCCGGGATGCCTGACAGCCCTGTGACAACCTCAGGGCACAAGGCAGGGACGGGGTGACGCAGAAATGGCCAGGACGAGAGTTGGAGAGAGCTGAGATGTAAGACATTTGTCTTGTGTCATGTAAGGGAGAGCCCCGGGCATCTGGGGCAGGGGTGGGAGGTGCGAGGGGGTTGGAGGGGCATATCCGCAGGGTAAGGACAGACCCTACCATTGACTGAACAGCCGTCATGTGCCACGGATCATGCCTGGGGCATTCTGTCTGATTCTCCATCCCTGACAAGTCAGTTTTCTTTTTCTTTTTCTTTTTTTAATGTTTATTTTAAAAAATAAATAAGGGGCTGTGCCTGCTGAAGCCCTGAAGGGCTTTCAGTAGTTGTGGTACACAGGCTCAGTAGTTGTGGCGCACGGGTTTAGTTGCTCCGCGGCATGTGGGATCTTCCCGGACCAGGGCTCAAACCCGTATCCCCTGCATTGGCAGGCAGATTCTTAACCACTGCGCCACCAGGGAAGCCCTGCACCAGGTCTTAGTTGAGGCAGGCGGGCTCCTTAGTTGTGGCTCCAGGGCTCCTTAGTTGTGGCATTCGAACTCTTAGTTGTGGCACGCATGTAAGATCTAGTTCCCTGACCAGAGATTGAACCTGGGTCCCCTGCATTGGGAGTGTGGACTCTTATCCACTGCACCACCAGGGAAGTCCGCAAGTCAATTTTCTTATTCTCACTTTCTGGAGCAGAAACTGAGGCTCAGAGAGGATAAGGCTAACTCAGATGAGCCCCAAAGCCCTGGCTCTTCCCCCAAATCTCACAGGGGAGGGGAGAGGAGTAGGCAAGGGGCAGGAGGCTGAGGGTACCCCCAACTGTGGCCCCAAGACACAGCCCTCCCTGGGCGTGGGCAGGTCCAGGAGATGGTAGGGCTGGGGCTGTGAGGGCAGTGGGTGCGCGGGCGTCATTCACCATGTGGGGGTGGGAGCTGAAGGACCAGAGGCAGCAAGCAGAGTGTCATTGTCACCAGTCTCGACTTTGGAGACTGGCGACTGAGTCTGGAAGGCAGCGTACCTGCCTTACACCCTTTCGGGAATTGGCGAAATGAAAGTCGGTCAAGAAATTCCAGAAATAAATGGGCCCCAAGCCCTTTGATCCTGAGACACCGGAGAGCTGGGGGTCATCTGAGGAAGCGTGGAAGCTTCACTAATGACTGGAGGTTCAGCTCTGTTCCAGGCCAAAGGGCAGAGGGAAGGGGAGCCCCTCCCTGGCTGGGCAGCACATAGGCACACAGGCCATCAGATTTGCCATCGCTCTGAAGGGACAGGCACAGGGCCTGAAGCAGCCTGGAAGAGCTAATGGGACCCCGGGAGGGAGGTGGAAGGTGGAGGAGAGGGTGGGCCTGAGCCTCCGAGGAGAAGGGTGCCCTGCTTTCGACTCCAGCCCCAGGGAATGAGACCCCTCTCCCCTCTTCTCAAGCCAGCTTTACTGCCGCTATGGGTACCCCACCAGGTCACAGGGTGCAGGTCATGGACGCAGCTGGGCCAGTGCCCAGTCCCAGGATGGCTGAGAGTTCTTGGGTCTGTGGGTTCACAGGTAAGCACAGCCCCTCTGGTCATCTGGAGTGACCTAGGCCCCTCTCAAGGTCAGCAGGGCAAAGCACTCACTCTTTGGCCTTTCTGGGGGCTCCCCCCCTCCCTGGGCCCTAGGTCCACTCTCGGCCGCAGAGACCTCAGGCAGAGGTGGGCCCGCCACTGCCCCTGCTTGGAGCAGACAAAGGGCTCACTGCCCCACATGTGGGGCACAGGAAGGGGCCGAGCCTCCAACCTTGGAAGGAGTGCTCTCTTGAGAAGGACCCTCCCAGACATGCAGGCCTGCAACCAGGCCCCTGCCCTGCAGGGGAGGGGAGGAGACCACTCAGGCTACACTCTGCACTTTAAGACTTGCTTTTTTTTTTTTTTTTTTTTGCCGTACGCGGGCCTCTCACTGTCGTGGCCTCTCCCGTTGCGGAGCACAGGCTCCGGACGCGCAGGCTCAGCGGACATGGCTCACGGGCCCAGCCGCTCTGCGGCATGTGGGATCTTCCCGGACCGGGGCACGAACCCGTGTCCCCTGCATCGGCAGGCGGACTCTCAACCACTGCGCCACCAGGGAAGCCCTAAGACTTGCTCTTTTATGGTAGGAAATTCCAGAGTGGGTGTCACCATAGAGCAAACAAGATGCCTTGGGGCTCCTGGATGGAGGGCAAGGGAGCAGAGGGTGGTCACAACAGTGGGGATGGGGCAAACCCAGCAGCCCTGAGAGGACTGTCCTTGGGCCCTGACGTCTGATTCCTCTTGGCGGCCCCGGGACCTGTGGAGGGCTCTGTCAGCCGCTATCTCGTCGTCCAGATCTGGGTGAGGGGTGAGAGCCCCTGTCCCCCTCACTGAGCAGCTGTCACCACCGTGGGCCTCTGAATGTGGAGCTGGGGGGTGGGAGAGAGGAGGTACCACTGAGGGGCCAGTAGTGATGGCTGCGTCCCCGGGGAGCGACCTGCCTCTGGGCCGAGGGTGCTCCGCCCTCCCCAGGCAGCCCCAGGGGGTGGGGGACAGGGGAGCAGCCCCTAGCTGGGGGGGGGGTAGCTCCTGAGTCACCTCTGTGCTGGGGTCCACGTTCTGCAGGGAAGGCTGGAAGTGTCTGTAGACATTTTCAAGGCCAAACGTGTCCCCCTGCAGATTCTGACCTGTAGGGAGAGGTACTGGGGTGAGAGTGAGCCTGGGGGAAGCCAAAGACGCCCAGAGGAGGGTTTTTTTCCAGTAAAAGGACCAGCTCTGAAGAGTCAGCCCCAGAGCTGCCCTAAACTCCCTTCCCACTGCCCATCCGTCCTCCCAGCAGCACAGCTTGTCTGAGGCTCGGGAGGGGACCTGGGGAGCTGGCCCAGGGTCACGTGGGAACAGGAGGGCACCAGAGCGGCAGCCCTCCGACATGCTCTGGGGTCAAAAGTCGTGGCTGGTGAGCAGGGGCCCCAGGCCCAGGGGCCGCTTGGTCTGGGTGGGGCAGGAGGACGGGACTGCTTGCGGTCACCGTGCACACTTCCTCATGGCAACGGTAGCCACAGCAGACACAAAGCAGCTGCGCCTGGAATCTCTTGTTTGAGTTGGCACGTGTCCAGCACCCACTGTGCCCATCTTGCAGACAGACTTCCTCCTCGGCCTCCGGGCCCCAGGCTCCGGGTCCTCCTGGCATCTTCCAGAACATTCCTCTGTTGCTTCCTTCAAGATCCCCCACGCGGCCCTCCACCTGCCCTCCTCGCCCACTGTCTCCCCACCGTGGGCTAGGCTGACCCCCAGTGCTGCCCACAGGCCGCAGGCCTGTCCCCAGGCTTCGGACTGGCCAGATCTGGGGTGCTTTCCCCTCCCTGTACCCTGCCCTCCCACCCCCGCCCAGCGCGACCCACCTGCTGCTTCTCCCCACTGCGCCCCGTCATCCCCTCCCAGAGCCTGCAAACAACACGCCCTGCCTGACTCACTGGCATCTGAGCTATGTCATCTGCTGTCCACGCCTCCCGGTCTATGCCACCCCCACTCAGCCTCATCGTCCCTCACCTGTGGTACTGTGCTTCTCCCTCCCTGGACTCCCCACTTTCATGCTGTTCCGCTTAGATCCTCCTGAGTGAGCTGCTCAAAACGAAGTCTGGTCCCCCTCCCTTAAAGCCCCTACTGTGTGTCCCCCCATCATGGCCCACTGACCAGCCTTGACCTGGCCCTGTCATTCTCCCATCCCACTGACCCGCCCTTGGGGGGTCAGACCCCCCCACAGACCGTGCTCTTTCCCACCTCCATGTCCTTTCTTAAGTAGGGACCCCTGCCGGGAAAGCCCTTTCCCTTCCCATCGTGGGACAAGGCCTCACCGCCCACTGGGCTGTATGTTCATGGGAGCAGGAAACACATGGCTTACTCCCCACCACTGCCCTGGCTCTCAGCTCAGGGGATGCCCCTCCGCAGTCTTGTCTGACCCCCGCCCCACTCTGGGCTGGTGCAGGTATATCTATGCCCCGTCAAGCCCTGGCCAGGTGGGGCGACCTGGCAGGGCGTGCACGCGTGTCACCCACAACCCCACTGAGCCCGACTTTGGCACTTCTACACCCTCCAGCCTGCCCCGTCCTGGCCCCTGACAAGATCTACCTTCCCAGACGCCAGCGCTCTGGAAGCTGACAAGGACATCTTCTTCTTGCCAGTCTCGAGACAGGTTGTTCTCTTGCCTGCCAACAGAAATGCCGTGAGCAGCTCATGGCAGAGGGGCAGGGGAGGGGGCTCAGAGGCAGCGGGCTTCCGGAAGGGGCTGTCCTGGCCAAGCCCTGAGTCAGGGAGGAGACTGCCCCCAGCGACAGCGGCAGAAAACAAAAAGCATTCCTGGGGATGTCACCACGGCCTGGCCCCCCCAACTCCTCAGTGGGCCTCAGTGTCCTTATCTGTGAGATGGGGGCATTGGACTAGAGTCAGGGCAGTTCCCTTCGATTGCCAGCCAGGTGCTGTGCTGAGCATTGCTCAGCCTTCTCAGGTGGGTCTTATGCATTTTACAATTGGGGGAAAGCGACGGCGGTCTTTCCCAGTGTCCGAGTGTGACGGTGTTGCTCTAGGGAAGCCAAGGTGATAAGAAGCACCAGGTAATTTCATTACGTAATCCAATTCCAGTACATATGTTTTTGTTTCCATTTCTCTGCCAAACAGACACGTCCTGTCAGCCAGCAGGCTGCCCTGGGCCTCAGCTGACTGCTCAGCTGGAAGGAGCAGAGCCTCACGTTATTCTGACTGTGGTCCCCTCTCCCCAGGCCCCGCCCCAGCCCCAGAAGCTCACCTGTGCAGTTTTCTCTGGGATTGGCTGAGTAAGATGGCCAGGACCACCACCGAGACCACCAGTAGCACCACCACGGCCCCTATGATCCCATACGCCATGCTCTTGCTGGTGCTGAATTCACAGCTTTCTCCCCAGTGCCAGTGCGTGTCCGAGTTCAGGCACCTGGGGACACACACAAGCTCAGGCCAGCCCACCAGCATCCCTCACCCACCCAGTCTCCCGAAAGAAAAAAATCAATGTCAAAGCACAGGAAACCAGCTCTCCCTCTGAGGACAGTTGCTGGGTGCTCTCCCTGACTCTCAAGGCTAAGGGGCGGGGAGGGTGTGCAGGGACCACAGATCTGCGGAGCAGGAATTCAGAATCCGAGAGCGCCGGTACCTCGTCCCAAACACGTGATGTTCACCCATCTAAACACTAAGTAGTTGGCACTTTGACAGCCTGTTACCGTGTTTTATATTTTGTACTTTAATTTATGATCTCCCGAATGTCGCGTCCCAGCTACAGCGGGAGGTGATAATGGCACGGTGGCTAGGATGGTGTCAGGGAAACGAATGACAGATGGAGATGAGATCCATGGATACAGATTTGGAAATTGGTAACTGGAACTTTTTCAGGAAGGGGCTTGCTCAGTGCTACGATGCCTGTCTATAATCTGCGCCTCCCTCTCCCTCTGGTGGGGTGGAAGATGGGAGACCTGGGTAGAAGAAAGAGGGGTGTAGAGGAGGGGGGAGGGGGTGCCTTGCGAGCTCTGCCCACTCCCACCCTGCCCCCTTGGGTGACTGTCGGGGAGAGTGGGGCCCTGCCACCAGAGAGGGTAGCTGCTCACAGGCAACGGGGGCCACTTTGCTGAAGCTGGCACCTGCCGTGGTGACAGTTCATTTGCGACTTCGTCCCCAGGGTGCACTTGGTCACACAGGCCAGCTTCCCATTCAGATCATCCACGTAGTAGAATTGGGCGAATTCCTTCGCAACTTTCTGAGTGCATTGCCCTGGGGGTGGGGGGCGGGCAGGAAGCGTCAGCCTGGTGAACACGCCCTCTAGCCCTCAGGTTTACCATCCACACTCTGCGGAGCTGCTTACCTTGCAGGTCAAAGCCGAGCTTCACGGTCTCATTCACGAAGGTGTCCTTCTCATTGTAGCACAGGAATGAGATGTCTGCCCAGGGTGGTGGGAAAGAACAAAATAGATATGGCGCCTCTGCCCCCTGGGGGCAGCCAGCCTTCCCCTCCTCCTTGCTGGGAACAAGGCTAGTAGGATCTTGGCCATCCCCAGATGCAGCTGGGCCTGTGAGCTTGCTCAGATGGGGACATTAGGGCTGGTGACAACCTCAGCCCGGGACTGGGAGGGACTGCTGGCAGCAGCACAGAGTCTGCGGAAGGTATCCGGGCTTGACTGCTGGGGAGGGAGGTCTCTGGAGCTCCGGAAGAGAGGAGAGAGGTGAGGTGTGGGGATGGGGCTGAGACCTCCCTAAGCGACCCCTCCCATCCTTTCCCCACCAACATCAAGGGGTTTTAGATGGGCTTACTTTTGCACGCTTCAGAATTACTGGGTAGCTTTCCGGTCTCATTCATAACCTTGGCCTTTATGATCTTAGTGAGGTTTGCAAACAGCTCCTGAAACTCTGAAGTGAAGTTTGCCTCCATGACGACTTCATGTTCCACCACGACGCTGCCTTTGCTGGAATTAGGAATCGTCAGCTACCCTGTGTTGCCCGCCCTCCCAGCAAGCAGGGCCCAAGAAGCAAGAGAGATGATGAGAAACAATTAGCCATATGTCCCAGAGGCAGGACAGAATAGAGACTCTTCCCTCCAGCAGGTAACAACCTAGAGGGAGGCTACAGAGTAAACCTGTGATAACAATATATGCCAATGGGTGGAATTCATTCCTAAAAATGGAAGCTGTTGGGCAAAGATGCGGAGAAACTGAACCCTCGTGCATCGTTGGTGGGAATGTAAAATGGTGCGGCCACTGTGGAAAACAGTATGATGGTTCCTCAAAAACTTAAAAACAGAATGACCATAGGGTCCAGCAATTCCACCTCTGGGCATCTAGTCCAAAGAATTGAAAGCAGAGGCAGGAAGAAATATTTGTACACCCATGTTCATCGCAGTGTTATTCATAAAAACTAAACGGTGAAAGCAATTTAAGCGCCCATCAGTGGATGAATGAATAAACAAAATGTAGTCTGTGCATACAATAGAATATTATTCAGCCTCAAAAAGGAAGGAAATTTTGAGACATGCTACAACATGCATGAACCTTGAGGACATTATGCTAAGTGAAATAAGCCAGTCGCAAAAAAACAACTACTCTATGAGTATTTATGAGTAGTAATATGAAGTCCCTGGAGTAATCAAATTTGTAGAGACAGAAGGTAACGTGGTAGTTGCCAGGAGTGGGATGAGGAGGAACTGGGAGTTATTGTTGGATGGCGACAGAGCTTCAGTTTGGGAAGATGAAAAGGTTCTGGAGAAGGACGGTGGTGGTTTCACAACAATGTGGATGGACTTAACGCTGCTGAACCGTACACTTAAAATGGCAAATTCAGTGGTTAATGGCAGATTTTATGTTATGGGTATTTTACTACAATGAAAAAATTTTTAATTAAAAAATGTAAAGTAGAAGCTATTGGATTATATTTTCAAAACCAAAAAAGTAAGCGTTCAGAAATGAAGAAACATGAAGCTGCTTTAGAAACGTTGGATTTCAACCCAGAAGCTTCTTGTTAGACAGTCAGCAATGCTCTCAGAAGAGAGAACTTGAGACAAGGTCCATCACTAGTCACAGCCATTGTGACAGAGAAGTCAGGAGCAGGACCCAGGAGGACTTGAAACAACAAAATCCTGAGCCAGAAGGGAGATGGAGACAATGGCTCTGATGCTGGGTGGGGGTGGAGGACACTAGGCTATGGAACCCAAAGGGCCCTGGACATGTTGGGACCTGACACCCCCAGGCTCCCTTCCCACCCCTCTGTCTGCTTCTTTGCACTCTCCTCTCAGAGTTCTGATTCTCCTGCCTATCCTTTCAATGTTGGGGCTTCCCATGCTCCTTCCCTGGTACATCTTTGTTTTTGTGCTGTGACGACGGCCCCGGCCATCTGGTCTACTCCCAGGGCTTCCAGCGATGTCTATCTAGGGATGCCAACACCAGTGCCTCCACTGTAGACCCTTCCTATCCCATGTTTGACCATCAGCTGCTCCATCACTCAGCCACTCCACATGGCTGGGCCCCCAGGCCAAACTCATCATCTTCGTCTCCCATTCTGCTCTTCCTTATGTTCCTCATTTCAGCAAAGGGCACCCCGCATTCCCAGAAGCCCAGAAATCTGGTGTCATTCCTCCTTTTCTCAAAACACCCATCAAACTCCCATGATCTGCTGGTCCTGCCCCCTAAAGACCTTTCACACTGGATACTTTTCTTCTTCATTATCACCTCTCAGGTCCAGGCTGCTATCATCTCCCTCCTCTGTCCACCCATTCTCAGCCCTGTAGCCAAATTGAGTTGTCTGCAGTGCAAATCGGATACTATCCCAATGGGCCACAATTGCTGATGCTTCACATCTAAATAGCTTGGCACAGGTTACCTTTCTAACCTCCTCTCCCACCATGACCCCTTTGTCCTCAAGCAGCCAAGTGTGCTTTATGTTCTTGGAATCTACCCTCCTTTCTCTCACCTCTAGGCTCATCGTCATTGATTTCCTCTTGTAACACTCTCCTCCTCCTTTCCTTCTACTTGGCTCATTTCTCCTCATCCTTCAAGCCTCAGCTTAGCTGTCACTTCCTCCAGGAGGATTTCCCTCCATCTCACTGAGCTTGCATTCAGGACCTCTCCCACTGCACCTTGTGTGTCCCTTACCATAATTCTAGACAGACTGCACAGCCATTCTGCTACCTGTGTTCTGCCACTCTAAGCTCCATGAAGACCAGAACCGCTGTGCTCCCAGCACCTAGCACAGGGTAGGCTTTCAATACTAGTTTGTTACTTGGATGAGTGCTGAATGAATGAATGCATGGTCTCAGAGCCCTCAGGTGTTGCCTTCTAGCTGGGGGCCTTTTTGACCCAGCCAGGTACTGATACTCGAATCATTCATGATAGGAGGAGACAGGAGAGCAGGCAAGAGAGAAGGAGCTTCCCATAGTCTATAAATCTCTCCACCCCCATACTCACAGTAGTTTCCTAATGATCACGCCTCTGTATTGTGGAAAGTCTTCGCTCCTGTAAGCTTTATCCATCTGAAAGAAACAAGACAGCTGAGCTCATAGAAGCCTGGAGTGTGCAGCAGCCCCTGTTCTCCTTCCCCAAGGAGCCCCTGTATTAGCCCATAGGAAAGAAGGAAGGGAAGGCAGAGGGATGTTCCCTCTTCCAGGATGTGTTGGAGGGGTATGGCTCAAGGAAGGAGGCTCTCAGAGGAACCGCCCCCCTCTCAGGACTTAGGCTGAAGGGACCCAAGAGCTGAGAAGCCCTGAACAGTAAGTCAAGATGAGCCCTGGCATCCCCTCTCACATTGGTGAATCTAGGCTTCCTCTGCTCTTACCTGACTCTTGAATAGTTGAACAAAATTCAGGTATGTATGGGAGGATATGTTATTTAGGTCTTCTGTGAAATTTCTGTTAGTTACTTTCACTCTCAGTTCTACAGTGGCATTGATTTTTTCTGGGACTTCTGTGGGAAGAGGACACATTATGCACGAGACAGCAACCTCCCAGTAATGCCTTGCAGGATTAGTTAATTCTTCATCTATTGGTTTTGGGGAAGTAGAGGAAGTGTGTAGGAGGGAGGATGGAAACTCAAAAGGCAGGTGGGAGTTGCTGAAACTTCTGCCCCTTGCCTCTGTATACCAGGAAGAGCTAGTGGCCAGGATCACAACCCAGTGAGACCTAAATGGAGGCCTCTAGATGATCATCCTGATGAGAGAGGCAGGTTAGCTAGTGAAAAGGACCCAGAAGGGGGAGGCAGAAGGTCCATGTTCTACCTGCGTTTTGGTCTGGGTGAAAGTCACATTTTCTCCTCTACCTGCACAATTAAGCAGTGGTAGCAAATGATCCTTCCAGTGCTGCCCTCCTATTTTAAGTGGTTAAGGGATGTGGGGATGATCTACAAGTCTCAGGAAAGGTCTTTACCTATGAATAAGTATTCCAAGAGGGACTGACACTGGTAACCAAAGTAGCCTTCGGTACAGGCACATTCTTCTCCGTTCCAAGTGGCCCCATTGTAGCACTGCCCTGAGAAGGGGTAGAACGTTCACAGAGGTTACCATGGAAGCCCAAAACACAAAAACATTGACTCCTATTCCAAGTCCCATCGTTCAGACACTGCATTGAAAGATGGGGATGGGACCAGATGATCATGCAGCAACCGAGATCCATTTGTCACCACCTAAACCCCCAGGAGAGAGTAGGGAAAGGAAGAGGGACAACAGAGAGGAAGGAAGCAAGAGATAAAAGAGGACACACAAAGGGGCTTCCCTGGTGGCGCAGTGGTTGGGAGTCCGCCTGCCAATGCAGGGGGCACGAGTTTGAGCCCTGGTCTGGGAAGATCCCATGTGCCGTGGAGCAACTAAGCCCGTGTGCCACAACTACTGAGCCCACGAGCCACAGCTACTGAAGCCCGTGAGCCTAGAGCCCGTGCTCCGTGACAGGAGAGGCCCACACACCGCAGCGAAGAGTAGCCCTGGTTCGCCACAGCTAGAGAAAGCCTGCGTGCATCAGGAAAGACCCAAAGCAGCCAAAAATAAAATAAATAAATTAAAAAAAAATAGAGGACACACAAAGAAAACAAGGGCCCTACAAATCAAAAGGGAGCAACATCATCTGCATGGATGATGTACATTGGTAACAAAAAGGCACTGGAAGTGTGGAACAAGATCACAAGGAGTACAAAACTGATTAGCTGATAAGGAAAGATGAGCAGGAGGAACCCATAGAGTGACAAACAAGGAGACTTACTTGTTGTCATAGCTGGAGAGTGGGTTGTCATCACAGCTGTGTGTGTACCAGTGAGTGGGGGACGCAGAGTTGAAATGGTACTGAAACCAGGGACTGGAGCACCAGTGGAGCCAGGTGAAGTGGAGGACAGAGGAGGAGAAAAGCCAGAAGTTGACTCCTCTTTGGCAGTCATGGTGATAGGTTCTGAGACCACAATGTGGGTAGAGATCTCACTGGGGCTTAATGCGGAAGGACTTGCATTGTATGTACTATGCAAAGAAGGGGTAGAGAATGATGGTGTGGACCCCTCTGTGGAGGTTGTGTAGAAAGTGGATCCTGGAGGAGAAGATGTGGTCATGTGTCCATAACCACCAGAAGTGATTAAGGTTTCTCTAGGCCTTGATGTGGAAGCAGAAATTTCATTCCCTTCAGTAACAGTGCTGTTCAAGGTACCTGTAGGTTTTGATGAATCAGGAGTAGAGGTAGAAAATGTGGTTTCCTTGGTGAGGCCTGTGGTTGTCTGTGCAGAGACAGAGCAGGTGGTAAACAGCTGGCTGGAGCTTGAAGAGGAAGCAACGCTACCATAATGCCCAGGATAGGAAGTTCCAGACGAAATGGTTGATTTAGATGATTTGGAAATTGTCGTGAGGACCGAGGGCATTTCAGTAATTGCTGTTGTGTTGTGTCCAGTGCTGGAGGTGGTGGTAGAAAGTTGTTCAGAACTTAAAGGTGTAGAAGATGAGGAATAAGAGGAGAGTGTGTGTGTTGATGGTGCTGAGAGAGTCGTGGACACAGTGGTTTCAATATAAAATGTCGTTGTTTGTTCATCACCACTGGATGTGGTAATGGATTCAACTGGACGTGAAGTGGACACAAGACTTCCATCCCCTTTAGAAACTGTTGTTGTAGGTGAGTCCATGAGCTGAGGAGAATCAGATATGGTGTTGTGATCTGTGGTTTTCTGAGTAACAACAGTGGCAGTCTGTCTTGATCCAGCTGGGCCAGTGAATGTCTCTCCATTGCTTGATGGGGCTGTAGAAATCCCAGCAACTGTGGTGTGGAAACCCTCAGAAAAGACTGTGGATTCAGACCATTTAGAAGTGGTGGTGGAACTCCCAGTGGCTGTGGTGTGGGAACCCTCAGAAGACACTGATAATTCAGTCCCATCAAAAGTGGTGGTGGAACTCCCAGGCCCTGTGATTGGGGAACCCTCAGAAGAGACTGTGGATTCAGACCAACCAGAATTTGTGGGGGAACTCCCAGAGGCTGTGGTGAGGAAAACTTCAGAAGAGACTGTGGATTTAGACCAACCAGATATTGTGGTGGAACTCAGAGGGCCTGTGGTGTGGGAACCCTCAGAAGCGACTGTGGATTCAGACCAACCAGAGTTGGTGGTGGAACTCTGAAGGCCTGTGGTTGGGGAAGCCTCAGAAGAGACGGTGGATTCAGACCAACCAGAATTTGTGAGGGAACTCCCAGAGGCTGTGGTGAGGAAATGCTCAGAGGAAACTGTGGATTCAGACCAACCAGAAGTGGTGGTGAAACTCCAAGGGCCTGTGGTGTGGGAACCCTCAGAAGACACTGTAGATTCAGACCAACCAGAAGTGGCGGTGGAACTCCAAGGGCCTGTTGTTTGGGAACCCCCATAAGAGACTGTGGAATCAGACCAACCTGAAGTGGTGGCAGAACTCCAAGGGCCTGTGGTGGGGGACTCCTCAAAAGAGACTGTGGATTCAGACCAACCAGAAGTGGTGGTGGAATTCCCATCAACTGTGGTGGGGAAGCCCTCAGAAGACACTCTGGATTTAGACCAACCATATGTTGTGGTGGAATTCTGAAGACCTGCGGTGTGGGAACCCTCAGAAAAGACTGTGGATTCAGACCAACCAGAATTGGTGGCAGAACTCTGAAGGCCTGTGGTTGGGGAAGCCTCAGAAGAGAGAGTGGATTCAGACCAACCAGAATTGGTGGGGAAACTCCCAGAGGCTGTGGTGAGGAAACCCTCAGAGGAGACTGTGGATCCAGACCAACCAGAAGCAGTGGTGGAACTACCAACATATGTGGTGTGGAAACTCTCAGAAGATACTGTGGATTCAGACCAACCAGACATGGTGGTGGAACTCTGAAGTCCTGTGTTTGGGGAACCCTCAGAAGAGACAGTGGATTCAGACCAACCAGGAGTGGTGGTGAAGCTCCAAGGGCCTGTGGTGTGGGAACCCTCAGAAGACACTGTGGATTCAGATCTACCAGAAGTGGTGGAGGAAATCCAAGGGCCTGTGGTGGGGGAATCCTCAGAAGAGACTTTGGATTCAGACCCACCAGAAGTGGTAGTGGAACTCCCAGAGCCTCTGGTGTGGGAACCCTCAGAAGAGATGGCAGATTCAGACCAACCAGAAGTGATGGTTAAACTTGCAGCGCCTGTGGTGTGGGAACCCTCAGAAGAGACTGTGGATTCAGACCATCCAGAATTTGCGGGGGAATTCCCATCCCCTGTGGTTGGGGAACCCTCAGTAGAGACTGTGGATTCAGACCAACCTGAAGTGGTGGCAGAACTCCAAGGGCCTGTGGTGGGGGAATCCTCAGAAGACACTGTGGATTCAGACCCACCAGAAGTGGTAGTGGAACTCCCAGAGCCTGTGGTTGGGGAACCCTCATAAGAAAGTGTGGATTCAGACCAACCAGATGTGGTGGTGGAGCTCCCAGTGGCTGTGGTGAGGGAACCCTCAGAGGAGACTGTGAACTCAGACCAACCAGAATTTGGGGGGGAACTTCCATCCCCTCTGGTGGGGGAACCCTCAGAAGAGACTGTGGATTCAGTCCAGCCCAAAGTGGTGGTGGAACTCTGAAGGTCTGTGATGTAGGAACCCTCAGAAGAGATGGTGGATTCTGACCAAGTGGAAGTCGTGGTGGAACTCACAGTGCTTTCGCTGGAAGCAGAACTTGGATTGCAAGTTGTGGATGTCTCTCCTGGAATAAAATAAGTGGTAGACAGTTGATGAGGACTTGAAGGGGATGCAGTTCTTCCATCACTTTCGGTATAGGTGGTCGGAGGACTGTTGTTAACAAATCTGAAACGTGTCTAGAGAATTGTTTCTTTAGTGAATGTCATGGCTGTTTGTCCAAAGACTTGAGTGGTGGTTGATTCACCAGAACCAGAAGGTGATGAAGCTCTTATATTATCAGTAGTATGGAAGGTGGCAGATGGAACTGATAATTCTTAGAGTATTGTAGGAAAAGTGGATTGCCCGGTAGTAATTATGGCTGACGGTCCATCACCACTAGAAGTGTATAGGAGTCACCAGGACTTGTTTTGTGGACATTCTTGGTTAAGGTGTTTGCAGATGACACCGTGAATTGGGAAAACTCAGAGATGATACTTTGGTATGTGATTTTGTTACTGAGTTTAATGGCAGTCTGTCCCAGGCTGCCTGGGACATAGCTTGTCAGCCTATGACACTGAAGCATGGCTTTCCTTTTCAGGGGTATAGGATGCCCCTATGTCAGGGGCATCTGTAGATATGGATAATTTACCAATGGTGATCTAGACCTTTGTCTCTTCTGTTGAGTATAGTAGTTTATTTATAGGGCAAAGTATCACTAGCTAATATTCTGGGGGTTAATGTGATCTATGACTTGAATTGTTAGTTGTATGGCTGTGGATTTTGACAAATCTGTATGTTCATATATATGCACATGTATACATACACACACACATATATACATATATACACATATATACGTGTACATGATTTTTCTCAACCCACAGTGTCATCTGCAAACACCTTAAATAAGAATGCCTCCGTATCAAATATATATGTATACTGTTACCCAATATTGCCTGTACATTCCTCCCAGGCACCCAGAGACATGTTCATTTCCTTTGGCACTCCTGCATAAACTCAAGTTGATATTAGTACTCACATCCCCCCTGCACATGCCTTTTGCCCCTCACATTCTGTGATCTGCAGGCCACACACTCACCTTCCGTCATGTAGCTGACACTTAGTCTGACAAATCTCTCTTCACAATCCTTTACATGTGAGATTCCTCCTCTACCCCAGCACTTCCCACCGACCCAGGAGGAACAGGAGAGCTAAGGCACTCACCCATTACTGTGGATAATTCATCCCCTGTCCTTTCTCTCCAGATATACTTACACAGAGGCTAGCCACTCTACCTGGAATACTACCACCACTACCTGGCTGTCCTGGGACCCCGGCGACTGCCCAGATGAGCTCTTCCTCCACCCTGGTCCCACAGCCCACTCGATGGGCTGCAGCTCTCTGATAATGGGAGCT